GAGCATGCTGGAGTACATTCGTGTGCGTGTGACCGGGGGGCGGGGAGCTGGGAAGTGGTACGGGATGCGCTTCCGGAGCCCGACCTCAAGCAGGAACGGCGGTCAGGTGGGTGTATGTCGGCCAGTGGGAAGAAGGTCAAGGCGCATTGGCAGGCGGCTCAAACACACACACACACACACGCACGCACGAGGCGAGATCCCCTGGCCGCATGCGGGTCGGTGTGGGAGCAGTCGGGCAGGGGAGGAGACACACTAGCCGTGGAGTGCCGCCGCGTGCCGGCATGTTTACAGCAAGGACGCCAGGGCCGGCGGTACGAACAAGACCGTCCCTACGGGGCGACGGGGCGGTCGAGGAGACCGAGGGCCTGGTTCCCCGCTGATGAACCACTCAAGGCAACTTTCAGCGGTACTTCGGAGCGGAACCAGGCCCCCCCCCACGCCCCCTCCGCAAGGCCCTCCGCCAGAGAGACCCGGAGACACGGGCACAGGCTGAAAAGCCCCCAGGGCAAGGACCTCAGCGTGGATATCACGGCCACCCATGCCCCCGCATCCGGACCCCTGACGCTGGACCCTCACCACCATCGACCTTCCCCCCTCCGCCCCCCTTTCCTTCCCTTCCCCCTCTCTTCCCTGGAACCCCTCCCTCCTTGCCAACAGCAGCACATGGGCCTCATCCGACTGAGGACGTGCCTGGCCCTTGTGGCCGCGGCACTGTTTGCCGTCCTCACGGTGGCCAGTGCCTCGGCTGCTGTCCCTCTCGCGCGCAGTGCTTCGACTCCCATCATCCCTGAGGATGACCTCATTCAGGGGACCTTCTCGCGCTCGGAAATTCAGCACTGGCTCACCGACATTGCCGAGCGCTGGATGGCCTCTCGCAGTGCCGGAGAGACGCTCGATCTTCCTGGCAGCCACACTCCCGACAGTGCGTGGGGTCCTGCGCCTCTCCCGGCATATCAACACACAAACATCCATGCATGCCTCGTTGGAGAGGTTGTTTCTAATCCATCCCCTCCGGGACGCGCCCTCGCAGTTGATATCCGCCGCTTCCATCGCCACGCTAATTACCTGCCGGAGTTTGTGATGCACGAGCTCTTCGAGGCGGCCCCCTTGGCCAACCCGGCGCCTCTGGCCGTCCGGGCCCCGGGCCGGGGTGGTGAGACCTGTCTCCAATGCCAGGCCAAATCCCGCGCCCTGCAGGAGGCCTACTTCACCCCGGAGGTGGGAGACTTCATGCGCGAGATGGCGTATGAGGTGTGCCTCAAGCTGAAGATCTACCCGCCGCATGTGTGTGCTGGCGCGGTGGAGCTCTTCTCACCGGTGTGTTTGCCCCCCCCCCCCCCCCCCCCCCTGCCAGTCGCCCTTCTTTGTGTTCCCCCTCTCCCTCCGGTGCATTTGGGCCATCGCCTTGCGGCTCGAACGAAGCCTGCCCACTCACCTGCTCTTCGGCACGCTTGCCCGTGTGTAGGCCGCCATTGAAATCATCGGCCACACCGTCTTCGAGCCGGCCGAGCGCTGCGCTCGCCTTGCCCTGTGCGAGCCGGTCATGAGTCCCAGCTTGAACATTACCCTGCCGATGGACAAGCCGCCGGTGGACTACACCCCGCCCAATCCTCGGGGGAATATCAAGCGCATTCTCCACCTGACCGACCTGCATATTGTACGTATTCCCCGATGGCGCGGTCGCTGGGGTCGGGTTCTCCGTGCTCCGGTCTTTTGTCAACTCGCAGCGCTAATGCCGATCATCCATCGCCGCCCATCCTTTAATCCATCGGGCCACAGGATCACTTGTATGCCACCGGTCTGGAGGCCGATTGCCCGGACCCCATTTGCTGTCGGCCCCGCCCGGATGATGGCACCCCTCTGTCTCGCCCGGCTGGGCCTTTTGGCGACTACAACTGTGACGCGCCAATGCTCCTGATGGAGAGCATGCTGGAGTACATTCGTGTGCGTGTGACCCTGCCCGGGCCATGTGCCTTCCTCTCGCCCATTTCCCTTGCCCTTCGTCGACATCCTTTGCCATACTCACCATACAACGTCTACCTTGAAACAAACACACACACACACACATATATATATATATATATATATATGTGTATACGCGGACACGCGTAGGATGAGTTCTCCGATGTGGACACCATCTTCTGGACCGGTGACATCCCACCGCATGATGTCTGGGCAAGTGAGAAACAGGCCTACCTGACCCTCATGGACAACATGGCCGAGCTGTTCCACACCATCCTCCCGAATGTCACGGTTCTCGGCGCCATCGGCAACCATGAGAGTGTCCCGGCCGATCTTTTCCCCCCGGTGTCGTACCAGAGTGCGTTTGCCACATACACACACACACACACGCACACACAGCGCTTCTGTCGCTTCCGTCGCTTCTGTCGCTTCTGTCGCTTCTGTCGCTTCTGTCACATCATCTCCAGGGCTTCTCGCCACAATCACCCCACCGCCCCATGCTGATATCCTGTTGCTCTTCCCCCTTTCGGCCTTTCCCCTCTCCCGCGGCTTCAACCGGGAACAGAGTCGGAGTTCAGCATCAGCTGGCTGTATCAGGAGCTGGCACAGCAGTGGAGTCGGTGGCTCGGTCCCCGGGCCCAGGAGCAGCTCCGCCATGGGGGCTCCTTCCTGCATGAGCTCGACTCCAAGACCCTGGTGCTGTCCCTGAATGATGAGGTGTGCGCCACGCACAACCTCTGGCTGCGCATGAAGGATGACACCCCCGGAGCGGAGTGCTGCCGCGAGGAGTTCCCGGATCCCGACGAGATGCTCGGGTGGCTGGCTCGCGAGCTTGGGGCCGCCGAGCGCCGCGGGCAGCGTGTTTTCATCCTCCGCCATATCCCCAACGGCTCGGGCTGCCATCCCAATTGGTCTCAGGCATTCCGTGACATTCTCATTCGCTTTGAGGGTGTGGTGGCCGGTGTCTTCTCGGGGCACACGCATCATGACTTCTTTGAGGTGTATTACCGGGGTGGCACGGCCGAAGGCAGCAACCCCCCGAGCGGGGTGGATCCCTCTCGTCCTTGGGATGACAGCCACCTGCCGCGCGAGCCGGCCGTCGTCGGGTTCATCGCCCCTTCCGGTGCCCCGCTCGATGGCATGCCCTCCTTCCGGGTATACGATGTGGACTGGGACACCCGGAAGGTGGTCAACTTCCAGGTGCACTATGCTGACATTGCCCAGGGCAATGCCGTGGTGGCTGCTCGGGCTGAGGCCCTGAATTTGCCCCTGGATCAGACCCCTGTCTTCCCTGGGGATCTTCACTGGATCGCCGGGCCCGATGCTCGGGCTCACTATGGCCTGCGTGATGTGTCAGCCGTCCAGTTGGATGCCCTGGCACGGCGCATGGCTCGGATTGGCGACCCCGAGGGTGATGATCTCTTCGAGCGATTCTACCACCAGTACCGCCGGCAGAATGCCCTTGGCAGCGTGTGCAATGACAGCTGCCGCAACAGCCTCACATGTCGCCTGCGTTACAGTGTCACCACGGAGACCTGTGCCGCCGTGTGAGTGGTGGCGCTTGGCGGCCATCCCCATCGATGTGCCTGGGTCTCTGCTCTTGTTTGGGCCCAGCCGTCAAAAATACACGGTCTTTCTTCGGGCCTTGGTGTGAAATGAATGATGGCTTCAGCCCGAGAAAGGGGAGGGGGGGGGGCGGGGAGCGATGGAGGGGGCGCGATAGGCACAGGGCCGGGAAAAGGAAACAGCCATACACTTTCGGGCCAAGCCACAGCCCGGCGCACGGGGGATAGGGCTCAAAGCAAGGCCACAAGGGGAGGTGAAATGCAAGGATCATTGAGAGTATAGTCGGGGATGGGGGGGGGGGGGGGGGGGGGGGATAAAAGTATACAAGGAACAAGGACAGGGGAGGGGGGCAGGGGAGTCGAAGAGGGGAGCACACAAGGCGCGAAAGTGACAAATACAAGGGAGGAGAGAGAAGGAGAGGGGGTGGACTGCACACAGGCTCGGGTCCACACTCGTGCCTCACTGGCCGGGCCAGCCGGCGTACTTCTGGAGGATATCGAGCAAACACGCCCGAGCAATGGGCTTTCCGATGAAGGACTTCATGCCTGACTCAAAGGCCCGCCGCCGGTCGGCGGTCGTGGTGTTGGCTGAGACAGCGATAATGGGTGTGGTGGAATTGTGGCGCAAATGTGCCAGCAGCTGCTGATCGGGGCAGGGTGGCTGGGTGACCGGCTCAAATGCCGCCACCTGGAGGGGAGAGGACCGAAGCCCGGCCTCGGCGCGCTCTCGTTGGATGATGGCCCAGACACGCTGATCGAAGGCAGCCAGGCGGGATGGAGAAGCGGGCAGCAGGGCCAGGCCGCTGCTCGTGCTACTCATTCCCGTCGGGGAGGTGTGAGCCTCGGGGCCGGGGTGGTTGATGGCGGCCGTGGTCGGAGTCGGCGAGCCGGAAGACATGCCCACTGACGTCAGGGCACCTGGCAGGGCACTGCTAGCGGGACCGGCCTCCGGGGCCAGGGGAAGGGGAATTTGCGGCCCGAAGCCAGCAGCTTCGGCCTCCGTCGAGACCGGTCGCCCGGACTGCTGGAGGGAAGCCAAAATGCCGGACGACCGGCGAAGTGCGCCCTTCTCCATGATGCCAGTCGGCATGGTGGAAAACCATTCGCCCTCATCGCTACATTCATCCTCAAGCGAGGACCCGATGTCCGAGCTGCAGCTGGATGACAGAGACGACGTGCCGGAAGCACCAGCCCCAGCCCCAGCGCCACCGGCCCCAGGTCCCGGATCTGGACCGATGGCTGAAACCGGACCCGGGCGAAGGCGCCCATGCAAGTCGCGGATCAGCAGCGACGTGTCGTAGCCATCGATCTCCGGCATGGCCAAGTCCATGAGGATAATGGCGAAGGAATGCTGCAGGCACGCACGAATGGCATCAAATCCACTGCGCGCCGAGACGGTCCGGCAGCCAGCCGATTGGACCAGTCGCTGGAGGACCAGCATGTTGAGATTGTTGTCATCGACACAGAGAACCAGTGGCCCGTCATCTCGCGGAGGGGGCCGGTCTGCCAGGCGCACTGGCGGCGGGCTGAACATGATCGTCGGCCTCGGGGGTGGGGCAACCACAGCGAGAGCGGTGGTGCTCGTGGTCGCCGGCACGATCGGGGCGCCGGCAACACACCCTCGCGGCGATGTGGGCGATGTAGACCCATCCGCCACCAATGCCGAGGCGCCGGCAACCGGCAGCGAAGAATGGGGACACGGTCGCGAGGTGACCCCCTCGCCGAGGCCGGCACAGTGCCGGCAATTGGAGTCGTCATGCGGAGGAATGGGCCCCGTCAGGAGGGGAGGAGGAAGCACGGGCGGCGGGCGAGCAAGCGCCAGGGGACAAGGAGTGGGAGCTGGCACGACGAGCTCATCCAACAGGCACAACCCCGGGGCCGGCATTCCCGGGACCATGGAAATCGACGGGTCGAGATCGGCCTCGAGCTCGGCTCCACTGGATGCAGACTCGAAGGAAGACGAGAAGGAGGAAGCCATACGGAGTACGCCAACACCGACCGGCGACAGGGGGAGAGTTTGTGCGGGATGGTGCGCGGCGATGGCCAACCCCCCGGACGGGCTCCCACCGCCGGGAGACGCCCCGATGGCCGGGAGATTCTCCTGGAGGAAGAGCTTCAGGGGGATGGCCGGAGTGGTGTCAGCAGCAAGGGCCGATGCGCTGGTCGGATGCTGTTCAAACATCGGATCGCCAAGGATGAATTCCATGGCCGGCACCAAGTTCACCGGGGAGATGGGCTTGCAAATGACGGCAATCCGTCGGAAGGGCGACTCCGAGGGGGGGGAATCCCCCAGCGAAAGGTCCTCAATCCAAGAAGACAGACGTCGCCAGAAGGGCACCCGGTGAGTGTCAATCAGCAGGACAGACGGCCGATCGACACGCAGCAGTCCCAGCAACACATCCGTCGGCGAAAGCGGCTCCACAGGGCAATGGCCATGCTTCCAGCTGTGCCGGAGAACGCGAGCCGAAACCGGGCAATGAGCACACGAACAGCCGGGAAGCGAGCTTTCGCCACTCCCATCGGCCCCGGGGGCCGGTGTGCCACGGCAGTCGCCATGGCTTTCTCCCATGCACTCGGCTCCCTGGCGCCGGAGAAGCTCCTCGGAAATGGGGAACATCTCCGACAGGATAGGGGCATCGACAAGACGAATGCCGGACACCGAGAACCGGCCACTCACCTCCCCAGCCCGGGCTTCGGTCTCGGGCTGGCGGGAAATGGCCGCGGCCGCGGCGACGGTCACCCGATCTCCACGGTCAGCCGCCGCGCTGCCAGGTGACAAATCCAACAAAGCAAGAGCCTGCGGATCGATCAGCGGCATGAGTCGCGAAAAGAGCACCGCCTCATTGACCAAGAGCAGCTCCGGCCGGCCGGTTGGCGAGATGTGCCCCGGCTCGGGGAGCTCGGCGAGGGACAGCGCACATTGGACCTCCGGACCGCGACTCAAGGGGGCAGACATGTCCATCGGCGGGGCCCCCTGCAGGAATCCCAGCTTGGAACGGGAGAAGTTCGGCACGCTGATGGGGACAGCCCGGTCATAGTATGACCCGGTGACATGGCCATCGCCGCCAGCCATTTGGTCCAGCCACATGCGGATGACGGCCTTGTGCCGGGAGTATGGCCGGTCCACCAGGTGTAAGAAGGCCGAGCGCAGCGTCCGCGCCGCATGGGGCGACAGGAAGTACGAGTCGGCCGAGTCCACGAGAGGAGTGGTGGCAAGGACCGGGCCCATGGGCCCGGGATGGAGGCCGCTGCTGGGAGCCTGGCTCGGAGCGACACCCGGACCAGGGGGGATCGTGATGTCGACAGGAGGCTTGGCCCCGGTGGGAGGCCCGGAATCCATCGGGCCCTTCATCGCCTCAATGGGGACCCCCAAAGCGGCAGAGGCCATCTTCGGGATGGTGGGCGTGTTGGCCGGAGAGGCGGTCGAGGAAGCGGCACCAGCACCAGCACCAGCACCAACAGCACCAACAGACGCCGATGTCCGGACAACGGGCCATTTCAAGTGGAAAATGGCCCCAAAGTCCTCGGCCGCGCGGACCTCCAACAAGCCGCCAGCCATGTGGCATAGATCCCGGGTAATGATTAGCCCCAGGCCAGGCCCATCCACCGGAGGATAGGTCCCCTCCAGGGCGGTGACTGCCGACCGGTAGTAATCCAAGTGCAGGAGGGCCCGCTTGACCAGATCGCTGGATGTGAAGTCCTCGGCCGGGGAGAAGGCCGTTGGCAGAGGCTGGCCCTGGGGATCAAATTGCTGTGCCCGCGGCCAGAGGGTCGAGGCGCGGGAAGAAGGGACACAGGGGAAATCCCCAACCAGTGATGCCAGCAGGGGAGAAGGCCCGGTCGGGACCGACGAGGAGGTTGGACTTGGCTGGCTGGAGGCCGGCATAACCGGAGGGCCCTCCGGGGGCACGGCCTCCTCGCAATCCGGGGCACAAGTGGGAAGCACCGGAGGACGGGAAGTCGAGGACATCGAAGAGGCAACCGACGTGCTTGATGGCGAAGGTGACACGGTCCCGGCGGGGGCCGGGGTCGAGGGGGGCACCTCGCCCCGACGGAGGGGGTTGACACCCGTGATCGGGACCCGGCCGGTGGTCAAGTTGACGAGAGACGCCGAGGTGGAGGTTTCCTCCAGCGGCAAATCCCCGGCCAGCGGGGCACCAAGGAAGAGAGGCTCTGGCTCGTCGATCTGTCCATCGGCCGGGCCAGCGGCCACGGACTCCGGACAGTCGTTCGTGGGGCTGCTGCAGACCGTGCCCATCTCCTCTTTGGGGACGGCCTCAGCGGCGGTGGCTAGAACAGCCCCAGTAGTATGAGACAGAGTAGCGATGCGATGCTGCATAAGTGCCGGTAGGGTGGCGATGTAGGCCGGATCGCCGAAGCGCGACGAGTCGACGGCCGGCGCGGAATTGGCCCCGCTCGTGGGGCTGGCCGAGGAAGTGGCTGCGTCGAATTCCCCAGGCCCCGAGGAGGGAGCAAAGTGGGCATTGGCACAGTGGGCATTGGTGCCCCGGAAGAAGGGCACAAGGATGGAGGACATGTCCCCGACAGCGATACCACGGCCGCGATCCATGACCTTGATGCTCAAGGTGCAAAGATCCCCCGGCGGGGCTCCAGCCAGGGAGGGAGGTGCCACACAGCCGGCGGAGAGATTCGGCTCGATGTCCACATGAACCAAGATGGTCCCGGACCGGGTGTAGTGCAGGGAATTGGTCACCAAGTTGGTAAGGGCCCGTGACAGACGCCCAGGCGATCCGAGAACCACATCCGACGCCATGGCCCGGGCAGAAGCGGCCAGGGAGAGGTCAACATCGACGGCCATGCCTGACAGAGCCACCAGGGCCGAAAGCAGGCGTTCGGTGTTTTCGGCCCCGTGACCGGCGGTGCCAGCCAGCGGCCCATCTAACGTGGTGACATTCGGGTCCGAGTGCGTTGTCGGATCGAAGGACACCGGCTTGGACACCAGACCACCGACAACGAAACAGGGGACCGTGGAATCGCCACCGGGCAGTGTGGACTGCCCATCACCGCTGGACGCCTGGCCGGGAGTGGCCCCAGAGCCGGCCGAGGGCTCGAAGCACGCCAGCAGGGCCGACTCGGGCAGGCTCTCACTGCAGGCAAAGTCGGCCGAGGCTGCCACCGAGACCGACACTGGGGCCGGGCCAGGCAGAGGCAGCCCGGTCCCGGGGGCCGGACTGGACAGATATTCAAGCAGACGCCTGAGCAGGATGGCCTTCGTGATTTGGCGCCGCTGGGTGGCCGTGTCTTGCCCGTTGGTCATCGTAGCCTCGGGAGAGGCAAGACGCGCAAGCCAGGCCTCGGCCGACCGGCGCCCGGCCACTGAGAGAGCCAGCGTCTCCGGGTGCAGGAAGGGTAGGATGGAAAGCCCGAGGGGACTGTCATTCGGCGAAAGGAGCAAGTGCGAAAGACGCTCGCGCTCGGAGTGCATGGCGTCACTGAGGGCATTGTGTGCCAGCTGGAGAATGGCCACCGGGCGGAGGGTAGGCGTCTCGCCCCCCTCGCCAGACTCAATCTCCGCCAGGGACAGAAGCTGCGAAAAACTGGTTGACAGCTTGTGGCAACTCTCGCGACACATCTCCAGGTACGAACGGATCTTGGATCTGGAAAGATGGTCCGGTGTCGGGGGAGCGAGGGAGTGGGAGAGCGGGAGTGGGAGAGCGGGAGTGGGAGAGCGGGAGTGGGAGAGCGGGAGTGGGAGAGCGGGAGTGGGAGAGCGGGAGTGGGAGAGCGGGAGTGGGAGTGGGAGAGCGGGAGTGAGAGGGGAGTTGGTTGCCAAGTACATGTGAGTATGTCACACACGGAAAGGGGCCCAGGGAGTGTGTGCTTTAACGGGAAGGAGAGGCAGAGAGAGAGGGGGGGAGGGAGGGGAGAGAAAGAAGGAACATACTGCGAGAGTGGGCCCGGGGCCGGGTGCGAAGAAGCCGGACCATGGACGAGCGGCGGCGGGCGTTGGAAGCCGCTGCGAACCAGATGGCCGACGCCGGAGCCCGAATCGCTGCCCGACGACGAGGCAGGCGAGAAGGAAGAGAGGGAGGAGGCCGCCGGGGGCTCACGCTCATCGGAGGAGGACCATTCGCAAGAGGAGGAAAACATACTGCCACGGTCGGGGAGGGATGATGGCAGTGGGGCCGACCCGGCCACTCCCTGCCGCTGGATCGAATCCAGAAGGATGTCCAATACCCCGCGCAGGGCATTGAGAGGCGTCCGGAGCTCGTGGCTCAGGAGGGAAAGAAAACGCGCGCGGACCTGCTCGGCATGATCAATGCGCTTTTCGAAGTCCGTCCGGCGGAAGTGCAGCTCGCTTTCGGCCGAAAGCACCGAAAAGAGCGTGCACTCATCGAAAGCCGTCACATCGACCGCATAAAAGCGACCCTCGGTGCCGCGGCTCTCGATGAAGGCATCACTGAAGCGCACCGGCGCCCGAGTGGCGATGGTCCTTTCGAAGAGGCTGAGGAAAGGCTCCAGCCCGGCAACACCATGCACATCGGCCAGCCGATAGTCGGCGTAGCTGGACTCCTCCAGGCCATTGAAGGCTCGAGCCTGGCGATTGGCGTACACCAGCTCCCAGCCATAGCGGTCCTCCGGGTCGGGACGCTGCATGATGTGCACTCCGAGCGGCAGGCGATCCAGGGCCTCGCGAAACCAGAACCGCTGGGTCTCGGACCGCTTCAGCCGGGCCTCTAGGTCCTTGATATGAGCACGCAGGGAAGCCACGAGGCTGTCCTTGTCGGCATCCTGATCGTTGTCATTGCCATGGGGATTGGTCGAAGAGGGTGGGATTTCTGGAGGGTCCACAGAGCAGGGAGCGGCCGGCGAGGGAGGCGGCCGGCGAGGGAAGGCATCAAAAGCATCGGACACCGCCCGATGCTGGTGCTCCGAGGGATGGCAGCTGCAGGTGCACATATGGCAGTAGCAGGCCTTGCAGGAGTCCAATTGATAGGAGGGCCTACGTGGAGGGAGATTGTTGGTACGCCCAGCAGAAAGGGGAGCCGATATCATGGCCGGCGGGTGGGCTGGCGTGGGCGCCAGATCTAGGGAAGCGAGTAGGTGTGTGGGCGTGGCCGTTTGTGAGAAATGGAAGAGAGGGAAGAGAGGGAAGAGAGGGAAGAGAGGGAGGAAAGAGGGGGAGATGTATATGCACCTGGCGCGGGGACGGGCTTTGGCGGCTGCATCAGGGCCGGAATGGGGAACATGATGACCGGCGAGATGAAGGGTGGCAGCTGCATGGCCGAGCTGATTGCCTGCTCAATGGCCTGGCTATCAGCCGAGGTATTGGGAGCTGACGAGGTCGATGATACAGAGAAGGCTTCAGACTCGGAGTCGACTCCCACGTCCGAGCCAGACGAACCGGAAGACCCGGAAGACCCGGAAGACCCGGAAGGCGGGGGGGACAGCACGGCCGAGGGGGGAGCACTGTCGAGGGACGGCGCGCGTTGCCGGTCACGCCCACGATCGGGGTTGAGAAAGACCGTCGGCGGGGAGCTGTATGTGTCAAAAGACCGGGCCACAGCGATCGGATGGAGGTCCTCCAGGGTGTTGGGAGGTGACGACCGCCGTGGTCCAAAGGCGGACTGCTCGGCATCGGGGATGGCGGAAGTCATGGCGGTCGTAGCAAGGGCCACTCGCGCCTCGAGGCCAAATTGGGCGCGCTGTATCTGAGCCGGGCTTTCCATGATGTAGCGGGCATGCCGGCCGGGGCTGACCACAGTTTGGATGGCTCCCCCATCGGCCGGGATGCCCCGGAGGAGGGTCGTCTCTTGGCCGGTGGCTGGACTGGTGAATGTGACCAGAGGGATCGGGCGAATGGGTCGCCCATCGAAGATGGGCAGGTGTTCATCGCCAGCAGCCTGCTCGGCGGGCGGGAGCTGCCCCGACGCGGAGGCCACGGGCTCCGATGTAGGAGCCGGGATGCCTGCTGGCCGTGCTGTGGACATGGAGCGGCTGGCGATGGCAATCGACAAGGGACGACGGCGAAAGGCAACAAGCTGCCGGGCCAAACGGTCGAGGAGGGAGGGAGGAAAGAGGGACCAACCACTCAACGGTTAGATTGGACGAGCAGAAGGGGGAGGCGGAGGCAGGACGCCGGCTGGGGACAAGGCAAGAAGGGAGGAGGACAGATCGTACCGAAAAAGGGGAAGGGGGGATGGCAGGAGGGAAGGGGAGAAGGAGGGAGGAGGAGACACACCCAAGACCGCCGCCCAGCCTTCAGGTCAAAGGAGGGCGGGGCAGGGATGAGGTAAACGTTCTCTCTCTGTCTCTCTCTCTCTCTCTCACACACACACACACACACACACACACACACTCACTCACTCTCTCTCTCGGGGAGCCAGGAAGGGGGTGGATCGGGCGGTGTGGCAGGAGGAAGAAGGCGGCAGGAATAATGGTGGAGGAGGAGGACGACGACGAGAAGCGAGGGCGGAGGGGGAGGGAGCAGGGGGGAGGGGGGGGGGGGCGAGAGTGGCCACAAGGGCGCAAGTGGGGGAGAGGTGCTTCGGTGTTTCGTGTCCGACGAGCTCCGGATGGCACCGCCCGCTGGTGCCTGATAGACGACACGTTGGCGACCGGGGAGGGGTAGCCATAACCCGGCAAAAACCATCCACCAGCGCAGATCGGCAAAGACACGGCGGATTGGCCTCCGAGCCACTCTCCAGGCGAATGTCCACTCCCGCTGCCGGTCCCCCGGCCTGCCAGTGGGGGGGGGGGGATGGGCCTTGGGCTCGGCGACGGGGTGGTGTCGCGAAAGCCAATCAGAACGTAAGCACCAATGGGGAGGGCCCAGATCCCGCCCCGGCCGGAGGACGCGTGCTCGTTCCGGCATTTCACAGGGAACAGGGGAAAACGGCGTGCTGGGCCCCGGGAAGCTTGTGCTACACCTAACCGCCCCCGCCCACAGGGAGGGGACTGGCCACCGGAAAGGGCCAATTGAAGAGAGGAGAGTCTGGGCACGTCCGCTCGACGCGCGTCCTTTCTCTCTCACCCAGTTCCCGCTGCCGGTCCGCCGTTTCGCCCCCTGGGGGGGAACTTGGGGCAGAGGGCCAACACACCATGCATCGCGCGGGAGAGCCTGGCGAACCGCGCGTGCGCCCTTGGCGCGTGCCGGCTGGTCGCCACACGCCGGCCTTGGGACGAGAGGACGCGCGTGACGCCGGCGGGCTGGGGGCAATCTCGGGGGGAGCTGGGCGGCCCTTCTTCCGCCGGGGGGCGGGGGCCGCCCGCCTGCCGCGGCCGAACAGCTGCGGGGGAGGGGGGGGGGGGGGGCGCACGCGCGGAGGGGCTGGACTGATCTCGACCACCCCCTGCCGCGAAATGCCTCCCTTCGCAGTTGGCCGACGCCCGGAAAGAGCCCCTCACGAGGAAAGCCCAAATACAAAGGGCCTCGCCCCTCTTGGCTGGGCCCCGCCCCCCCCCCCCCCCCCGGAGCTTCCTGGGACTGTCGGAAGATCGCGTTACCGGGCTGCGGTGGCCCTGCCCGTTCCCGCCCCCGCGTCCGCACGCGCACGCGTGTTTGCCCAGGCCCCATCACCCTATGGTGCTTCCAATGACCCTGCTCGCCCCTCGCCGGCCGCGCTCCCGAGCGCCCGGCGGTCCAGACCTTCGGTGCTCGCCAGGCGGCGTCTTGCTTTGCCGGAAGGGACCCATGGCGGCGGCGGCGGCGGGGGGGGGGGGTGCTCCAGGACAGGGCGGCCTGCGGGCTCTAGCCCAGCCATCTCACACTTCTTTCCCGGCATGGGAATCTACCCGCACACTCGGGCCCCGCCAGGGGGCGAATATTCTCCCCGTTCTGGTCCAGCTGGTCCTCGGCGTCCCTGCCCTCCCACGGCCCGCACGCGGATCCCCTCGCCAAGGACGACTCCTCCCTTCGCCGGCCCCAAGAGCCTCCCCCCCCCCCCCACCGGCTACGGCTTTCTGCCTCGGCACAACAGGGTGGTGTCGCACTCCCCCCCCCCCCGTTGCCGGCCCCCCGGGGCCGCTGCCAGTCAGGGATCGGGCCTACACTTGAAGGGACTGCCTCTGAGTGTGCCCAGGCTCACGGTACTCGAGACAACTGCGCCCCACCGGCATCGGCCGGAGGACGCGCCCCTCCAGGACCTGCAAGCCCGGCGGACGTGTTCCCCCCGGGGGGGGAGGGGCTGGAGTCCTCCGCGAGGGGCTGGTGTTTCATGGGATGATACCGCCCCCGGCCCTTACCTCCCTCCCCCCTCCCGTACTCTGGCGACGAGCAGCCGAGCCATCGCCCAGGGGAGGCTCTAGACCGCCTCAGCCTGACCCCCTCCTCCGCCCGGCACCCACGCGGCGCTGTCGAAAGGCTCCCCCCCCCCCCCCCCCCCCCCCCCCCCCCCCCCCCCCCCCCCCCCCCGCCGCACTGGCGTCGGCAGGGGGTGGGGGGGGAGAGAGGGGGGGGGGGGGGGGGGGGGGGGGGGGGGGGGGCCTGGCCCGAGGGACAGACGCGGGGCCGTGTCGTGGTGGGTGCTGCACAGGCTCGGTCTCGGCCGCCTCAATGGCCTTCCTCGCAGCCCTCCCCTCCCCCTGAGGGCCGCCCCTGGGTAGTGTGAGTGGTGGTCCACACGCCGCCGCGTGCGCAGCCGCGATCGCCCGGGAGGGGGAGTCCACAGCCGTGCAGGGGTGCCCTCGCTCAAGAACCCGTCCTCAGCGAAGGGCTCTCGAACGCCCGG